GATTTTAGAAGAGAAAGGGTAGATCAAGTGTTTTACGTTATAGCTCTCGGTGCAATACAAAATTTACCGTATGCCACACATACATACTACGTTTCCTTCAAGTTTTCTTTCACGCCTGCCCAGCATTTAAAATATATAATTTAAATATTTAAATTGCATAATTAAGTTTTTCAATTTAGTTTTTTTAGTTCAAAATTAAAAAAAATAAACAAACTTAAACATTTCTCTAAAAACCTAGAAAATGAATGTTACGTCGATACATCTGGGACTGCGAAAATTGTTAAAGAGCAGGTAATTTCAATAAATCAAGGTCTTAAAAAGCATACGAAAAAGCAAGCAAGTGCACAAATATTAAAGAAACAACGTCTATTTTCTACTGACTATTCATTGCAATTTAAAAAAGCACTACCTTCTACCATATTACTATTAAAAAACGCCTTAGATAATAAAATTGTATTGTTTGTACAATTATTATTCTTAGGGGTTTCAGATGTAGCAACACTTTTTCAAAGAAATCCGAAGAACTTTTTTTTTAGGAGTAAGGAATTTGAGATGAACTGTATTTTGTGATAAGAAAATATATAAGATATAACACACCTTATTGAAAAAAAAATAAGTTAGGCTTCGGCAGCTGACATATCGGCTCAAGCAACGCACAGCGCAGTCTGTTAGTTTATTCGTGAAACTTTTTCTCAGATTACACTTTTATATAGCACTAATATTAATAGTAATAATATAATAAATTGTTTATTTTTCTCGTGCCTACAAACAACTTCTCGGATTACAATGTGGTGCACTTCACATATATGGAGTAAAATCTAAAAATACAGGAAACAACAAAGTGAAATCAATAAAAATCATGCAGCATTATCATAATGCGAAAATTGAGTGTTGATCAGTTCGCATACATCCAGTCACGTAGGTTTAACATAAACTCATGAGTGGATGAAATGATATCGAGGCTAAATTTGTGTGGACCATAAGCAATTGGTATCCTTGACAAAGGGATCACAGCGAACAGGCAGATGGATAAAAATTTGAAATGTTCCGGCTCGGGTGAGAGGGAACATGAAACTCAATTGTTTCTATAAAGCCGCCGAATTCATCCTGCCATGAACAACTTTCTGAAGGAATCGAAAGTCTCTGTACTACCTTCTCATGACCAATTTATGCAGCGAAAATTCACGAAGGAATGTTTCGTAGTGATAAAAATACCTTTTTCCAATCTAGCCGTCATATAAAATTTTACCATTCGTTTTTGCATATTTTCAATAGCTGGCTCTTGCGACAGAGTCGATGAATTCCAAATGACTGAGGCTAATTTCAGTCACTATCGAACTGGGGACTTGAATAAGAGTAGCAAGCAACAGGGAGTTCAAAATTGACAAAAATTCTTCAAATCTATTCCTAACGTCCCCAACGCTGAGCGAAGACATGATGGTTCAAAGAAAGTGTGCTATCAATATACACTCCAAGATCCGTGATAAAGGAGACTGGAGGAATTCATACGCCTAGGTAATATGCAAAAGACACAAAATCACGCTTCCTGGATAACACAATTGATTTGGATTTTAAGGGGTTAAGTAACAGGCTGTTTTCTAAACACCATCTCGAAACTCGATGTAGATCGGCTTGGAGAAGAGAGCAGCCGAAACATGACTTCAGACTTAGGAATAACTTAGCATCGTCAGCAAACAGAAGGATGATAGTATTTTTAACACAATAAGCAATGTTATTTACAAAAAACAGGAACAAAAGCGGGCCAAGAATTGAGCCCTGCGGCACTCCAGACGGTGAAATAAACTGTTCGGAGAACATGCCATTGACTCGAAAAGAATTGCGACCATCACACAAGTAGCTATGAAATCATCTACACAAATGCGGGCTAAAACAATGTGAGGCCAGCTTGTTGAACAATAAATCGTGCCTAACGCAGTCAAATGCTTTAAACATGTCTAGATGATGGAGTAAACTTTACCTCTACAAGTAACTAATGGCGCGGTGTAACTTAAAAACGAACACAAATGGGACTCTACAGACCTATTTAATAAAAAAACATGTGGTTCATCAGATATCATCTTGTTCAGGTAAAAACAAACACGCTTATGAACAAATTTTTCAAAAACTTTTGCAAACCCACATAATTATGACAGCGGACGATAATTACTAGCTAAACAAAAATCACCTCATTTTAATACAGGGACAGCAACGGCGTACTTTCAGAGCTCATGGAAAAGTCCTTGTTTAAGTGATAAGTTGAAAATATGACACAGAACAGGGGAAATATAGCGCAGCAAACTTTGATGTTAAGAGTGGGTATGCCATCAATATACTTAGACATCAAAATATATGTAAAACCGTATTATATAATACCACACACCTCATACAATAATCCAAGTGGAGGTAAAAAATTCGATTATTTAATGTGGTTCGAGGGCACGTCATATTCTGTTAGAATCAAGATTATGCAACATCTGTTTCATAATTTTGTTATAGTATATTGGAAAAAAATATTAAGATATCATTTTAACGAGGTTTGTTTTCACCCGCGAAAATTTCTGTCTTGAGAAATACGCCCGATATTTTATCTTTTCCTTTCGCACTTCTGAGTTTGAGTGCATCTTGTGTTTTAATTTTTGGAAAGATATTTGTGTTTTGTGTTCCAACTTTATTGGCTTTTCTCGTTTGTCTCGCGGGGTACGTCCTAGGTCGCATTCATTATATTAATTATACAATGAATGATTCTGATATTGCCTTCTCACTTTTCACATACTTGTATTGTTTATACCAGGGGTGGGCAAGCTGCGGCTCGTCGCTTGTTAAAGTGCGGCTCGCGGCTCCCTCCCCTAACCCCTTCTACCATCCCCCCCCAACCCCCTACCCCCCCCCCCCACACACACACACACAAAAAAGAAATGGAACGCGTTTTAAATTGAAAGACACGTTGCGCTTTTGTAGTGTCGTGCTAGTGCTGCCTTACGCATAATTGGACTGCTTTTGACGCGGAAAGATTGAAAGTAGTTCGAGTTTCGTTTATTGCTCGGGACAAAAGTTTGCCCCCACCCCCCGAGGCTCTTCGAACTTTGGTGGTTTTGTCTGCGGCTCTTCGACTGGGCCAGCCTGGCCACCCCTGATCTATACTAACGGCGTGTGTGTGATAAATATCCAGAACATAGGGCCTCCATTTGAGGAAACATAACCTTAAACTTCAAGGACATAGATGTTAAAGCGCGTGCCTTGCAGCGCAAATGTACTTGCACCATGTTAGTTATTTTGCACTGGTATTATCACAACTGGTATTTTCCAACTCCGATCCCGAACCTCACAACTTAGATCACGCTCTCATGATTAACTGCAATTACCACATAAAAATGAACAAGTGGGAAAGTTGCTTACACATCCTGATCATTAAAGCCATGGCAAAAAAAAACAAGTAGGAACATGACGAGCACTGCCTTTCCCTATGAAGGAATCAGATATTAGCCATATGCTCTAATGGTTTCAAATTATTTGCAATGCCAAGAATGCTTTCGCTACAAGACAAAAGCGCGAATAGTTTGTCCACATCTTTCTTATAATTGTCATGTAACATTTTAAAAGACATATGACAGTGCTAAGGCAATATAAAACATCAGTAGATGATTTAAATTTTAACAAATTAAGCCAAATACTGTATGCTTTCCATTTGTACGCGAAAATTGTGAAAGCAGTATAAACAGAAGAAGCAAAATGCCACATGGAATGACGTGAAATATGCGTGAAATGCAATGGTTGCGGGAATATCAACGTCGTTTTTAGGATTCGATGCAGATATTTGGACTACACGCTACGCATATGAAATAAGGCACGCTACGTAAAATTCAAAAATTCTTCCTTGCATACGTCGAAATTCTGACTCGAGGTAACCACGTGAATCATGACACGTTGATAGCATTACTAGCTCATCAAGCTGAAAACATTGTAATGAGTTTTGAACACTCCCGCATTTTAAAAATGGTGTCCCTCCGTCCGTGAATTTCCAGCTAAATTTAGTGAAGAAATCAAATTAGTGTATAGGTCACGGGATGTCAATCGATGTCACGTGAAGCTTTGGTAAATAACGTTTTTTAGCCAAAGTCGGCGGGGAAATTGATGTCAAGGGACCAAAACACTTTTTCACTTTTCCCCCTAAATTTGGCAGAAACATTAACATCACGTAATTTGACGTCACGTGACGTCTACACCAAACCACATTTCCCACTAAATTTACCTGAAAATTTAATGCCACGTGACTCACGTCAGCACCCGTAAACTAATTTTGTTTAGCCCTAAATTAAGCGGGAAAATTGATATGGCGTGCTCTGATGTCCGGTGACCTATACACCAATTCGGTGTACCCGCTACATCTGGGGGGGCTGGAGCTTAAGCGGGCCCGCTAAATTTAGCGGGCCAATTAGCATAACCTGACGTGATGACACATGATAAATACATCAATTGATTTTACCACTAAATCGAGAAGGAAAAGTGACGTCACATGACCTAAACACCATTTGAGTTTCCCCGGTAAATTTGGCGAGGAAATTGGTGTCACATGCCCCATGCATCACGTTTCTCCACTCAGTGAAGTGCGGACATTAATCACAATAAACGTTCTTCTTTCTCCGAAACGACACATTAACGTCGTTTAAGTACGTTTATACTATCGCACGGAAAATACTGCATTTCATGCATGATAGTATTTTGGAAACGAAAGTCGCAGCCAATTTTCTCATGCTGCTAGTACTCTAGGTGATGAAACGTACTGTGCAACCATTACCAAACGTGCTCTTCTCACATTCTTTCACTTCAAAATCAGTTACGCGCTTAAGCAATGAACGGGACTGTAAAACAACCTCGCGTTCTTTGCTAATATGCATACCAGGCTACCGTCTTTGATTTCTTCAGAGTTTTAGAACGGTATAAAAGCAGCCCGCGAATGGCAGAGCATCACTAGTTTGACTTCTTACCGAGACGAACAGCCCTTATCATGTTCTCCAAGGTACTTGATTGCCCCTAGTAGTTTTTCAGTAGGCGCCTGGCTAAATTGTCCTAAAATACCAGGAATCAATTCTGAATTCTCTGAAATTCAATACCACCTTCATGTTAGAAAACCTTTAAAACCGTTACGTTTTGATCGCGTTCTTTTTAAAGATACACATGGTTAATTTTGGTCATTTTACATTTCCAAGAGATTCATAGATCCCTACAGGTTCCAGGACGTTTGTTACAAATGTTTCCCATGCCTGTGGCGGTAGATGGTATAATATGTATTTCTTGGTTTCAGCTTCTTCTGTGCTGCCTGTGTGTTTACGTGGCCGCTCAAGTTACTGTCGAGGATAACGTGAGTACATGCATAGTTTCCTACAAGTGCTTCAAGGTATTGTTGCAAAATTAAGATGATGACACACGAATTTGATGCGTGTTTCTTACATTTAGCGAGTTACACTGAAAGAAAAAACCGGCTGAAACATCCAAGTGATAGCTTATATAGCGAAACGCCTTATGGAGGACCTTTGGCATGTTAAGTGATGGGAAAGTTTGTGAAAACTTTAGAATATGCTATGATAGTACACTTCATTTCAACCAGGCTCCCAACAGCTAAAGGCACTGGGGGCAGCAGGCTTAGCAGTTCTACAGTTTCGGTCTTCATTCTGTTGTTCCAGCTTGTAACGTCGCCAATAATTATTGATAATAATCACTGTTTTTAGATATTTTTTTCATAAGGTAACAAAGATAAAATGAAGATGGAACATAGCGAAATATATTCAACAAGCTGTGTGAATTAAAATGTATTTTTATGTAAGTATTTGCACCACGAAAAATATCGAACCATAATTATTTAAAAGCATGCCACTAGATCTAAGTAAAATGTCTATAAGAGGGTACAAACTTGAAGGGATTAATCCTATATTTCAATCATCGTAAAATATGAAGAAATTATATTGGCACAGCACACACTATATCTTGTGGCTACTAGTCTGTAAAATATTTAAAAAAAGATATCTACTCCATTGTTCAATTGAGATGATGTAAAATTCAATGCAGAAGACACGCATTTCGATAGGTTCCGAGGCCTCATGTATCCTCGCACGGTTTACTGTTATCAGGCGCTTTCTTGAACACGACACAGAATATATGCCAATCAGCTCGTGTTCTATGTTTTTCTTAATTGGAAATGCACATTTCATTTTTAATATTAATTATAATAACGATATTTGTAGTGCTCGATCGAAAAACAGCTTTTTATATAGTTGCAGCTCAAATCCAATAGCTACCATATGTGGCAAAATAGAAGGGCATCCAATATATGCAGAAAGTTGACTGAATTCTATTTTTGCAGTGTATATGTGTGACGCTGAAGTAATTCTGCCTGTTTTCATTCAAATTGTAGGCATATTTCACACAACAATAAAAAGTTACCTCGACGTTTTAACATACATTTCAATACCCAATATGTGAGATAATGCAATCGCTAAATTAGACATCTTAAACAAGCACCAGTTCTATTGGTAGATAAAGGTAAAGCCGAATGCCGCCCATACGCACATGGATAATATCCGCGGCTTTACTTTCTGGTAAGCCCATGTGTCGACGACTTCACTAACAAATGCAAACAAAACAACACAGTGTATATATATATATATATATAAAGTTCACTGTTCGTTTACCCCACAAATTTATGGCTCATTATGACATGATTCTTCGCCCTCACGCAGCCTCCCCAACCCTACAGCTTCGAATATGATAACACCGATGAGTTCGGAACACGTCTGACCAGGCAAGAGACCGGTGACGAGTTCAATGGCAAGGTCGGCTCGTACAGCTACACGGACGCTGCTGGCGTCCACCGTACCGTCAACTACGTCGCCGACGCTGCCGGTTTTCGCGCCACCGTCGACACCAACGAACCAGGCACCAAGACGTCCGAGCCAGCCGACGCCGCTACCGTCTCCGCCGCCGTTGAAGGCCCACATCCAGATGTCGTAAAGGTTGTTCGCCCAGCGCCGGTCGTTGTGAAGGCAGTTCAACCAGCACCAGTCACTCTGCAGGCTGTGCATGCCTCCCCGGTGACACTGCAAGCTGTCCACACTGGTCCTGTAGCCTATGCTCAGCGAGCAGCTCCTGTTTTCTACACTCAGCATGCTTCTCCGGTGTCCTACTCCGTGGGTCATGCTCCACCCACCTACACGCTCGGCAAACGTGCTTAAAAATACACAAAATAACGATATTAAATATGTTTTGAAACAATCAACTTATGTGTATTCCCTTCATCGCTGAGTGTAGGTGGTCACTGATGGCATGGGACCATTATTAATTACCTGCGCTTCTCGGATATCCATTCATATCTTATAAGACTGGTATCTGAACATAAAAAGAGAGGCATAAAGCCGACACCGTGCAGCATAAAAACACAAGACCTATAGCGTTTAAGAACACTCAGTAGCCTTATTTGTGATCTAGAGTGGTGTGCGATCATTCCACTGACTGTGTGAAACACGTCTGCGACTGAGTAGATAACATTTCAATGATGAACATATTGGTGCAACGTAGTTCAGTGACGACTTAAAGCGGCTTGATGTCTTTGTCGTAAAGAGCAATATTTAATCCTTCTGTCCCGAACATATACTTCCAAGATAATTGTTAAGATTGGTAATCGATGGAACAAACGTCTTTTTAAGTTTCTCCTCGCGGTATAGATCTGTTTTCGAGACACCTACATACCTGTTGAGGTACAGCCTCCATGGTTCGTTCTCGGGCTTTACTTTTATCATTTTTGACTTAGAAATTACAAAGGGCAAAGTCTGTATAGTAAACATAGGTGTAGAAATATCAGGACAACGAAAACGGGCTGGCGAATACACCACGTTTGCACGAGTGTACTGAGAAGAAAGGAATTTACAACTGAATTTCAACGTTTTCTAACCTCCATACTTACAAGTAAGGAGGTTACAAATAAATTTCTGTGTTAAGAATACGATAGAAATTCCGTAAAGTTAGCTTCTTTCCATAAGAAAACTAGTACCGCGAGAACGTGCTGGAAAATATACAATTTTCGGTCAAGTAGTTAAAATCAGGAAGATACAGAGCGCAAATATTCTTAAATCGTAACTAATTTGTCTTCACATTATTTTTTCAATAGCCATATTTTTGGTTTGTGTGTTTCACTTTTTGATATATTAGATTTAGGTCCCATTATACAATTCCAGAGTCAAAATTAAACTTATCAGGACACGTGACCGTTCGTTCTTTTGAGCTGGGTTCACTCTGACAATTGAAAGAATGTTTTGTCCTGTTTTCGTCCATTTTGTCGCATAAATCATTCTTTTTGTAGCATTTTTCGTAGTAGCTACTTACATTACACTGTAGGCGTAAAATACTCAAAGCAAGGTTCTAATACATCTCTTCAACTAGCCCTTAAAAATAATTAAGACTGCGGCTAAACTCGTCAAGCTTAGTGCAACTATTAATATTAGATGTTTGGAGCTCTTGCGGAAAATAAGACGTGTCAAGAACAAACTTGGCATCGAGTATTTTTTTTTGTTTTTTTTTTTCTGTTTAGCAAATTTCTCACGTATAAAGTGTGGAGGGACTGTAATAAATGTGGTCGACAAAAAATGTCTGCGAATACTACTGGTACAGAATTATAGGCGGCATTATTCAAGGCGTGTCCTAAACACGCCAGTCCGCCTACATAAACTCAGGAATACTACCCGATCTGTCACTCTCACTTCAAACCGAGAAATATCCATCATGTTCTCTTAGGTACGATCATGTTATTCACATTGATTGGTGCTCTGGTGTTCTGGCGTTCAGCCTTCTGGTGCCTCGATTCCTTCGAATAATTTGAAGTCTTTCACGCAAATATCTCTTTCAGGTTCTTGTATCCTGTATCTTTGCATACGTGGCTTGTGGGGTTGTTGTTGAACACGTGAGTGGGCTAGCTGTAGAATGCATGTTCGTTGTATTTCGTCTTTCCAGTGTAAAGTGGTATTTCGATGAAAGTGAAAACAAGAGTACATTTTATATAAAACCAATCCATATCCAGCATACTGATACCAGTGTTTCGTGGGCAGAAATTCAACTAAGGGAGCCACGATTCCATACATGTATTACTGTGCAAAGTTTTTATGACCACTTAAAATCCTTAAATGGTTTGAATACTCTCATCGCTTTTGTTGACGACATTAAAAGTGTCTCATGGAAATCAATTGTCTACCCGTTAAAACAAAATTGATTTTCGTTAAAAACAATGCTTAACACAGACAATTGAACTTCACTAAATATGAGTGAGAATAATGAAACGAATGGTTATCGTAAATTTCCTGAGAATTATAATGTTGTCAACCATATATTCAATCTACGTGGGAGCGTAAATAGTGTTTAAACGGAAAGAGATTTAATAATGTCTCTCACAGGCACCACCCCAGCCCTACAGCTTCGGTTTCGACAACGTCGACGAATTCGGAACCCGTATGACCCGTCAGGAGACCGGAGATGAGTTCAACAACAAAGTCCGATCCTACAGCTACGTTGATGCCTTCGGTGTCAGCCGTGTGGTGAAGTACGTGGACGATGCCACCGGCTTCCACCCGACCGTCGAGACCAACGAGCCGGGAACGAAAACCTCCGTCCCAGCCGACGCTCCTTTCTTCTATACCACCGTCGAGGGCCCACACCCGGTCGTCGTTAAGGCTGCCCCAGTGGCCGTGCGCGCCGTTCACGTCGCCCCAGTTGTGCATGCTGCTCCCTTTGCGTACGGCAACCACGCTCCCCTCGCCTACGGCCTTGCCAAGCACTTCTAAGATGGTAATAAATTATTGACACTTGACTAATTTAGCCGTCCCGGTTAGGATTTTTTTTCGTGTTCATTAAAAATGGGGACATCGTGAGTGATAGCAGAATATGGCCTATAATCGATGTACCGTAGTACCGCATTTTGCGGGCTGTAGTCCGCTCCCGGTTCATAGTCCGCAGGGGCAAATATGAAGTCATAAAGAAATAGTTTGCTTAGACATTCCTGACCCGGTGCGTAGTCCGTACGTTAAAGTGATCATACAGAGCACACCCTTACAAATGCCTCCTACATACACAGTACGCCTGACAAATGCGCTACAGCACGTCAGTTCGCCTCACGTCAGATCCGCGTGTTGGTGTATAGCAGCTATCTCAAACTCGGTTTAGTGTTGGGGAGAGATAGCTCCGCTGAAAGGTCAAGGACCAAGTGTGCGTCTGTGTGTTGGGGGGATATTTTGTTATTTGGGACAGAAAAATAAACAAACAAGCGTCAGTGGTGTGACTCGTTGCGAAACGAGCCGACTCCCCCAGCGACATCGTTTGTGTGATTTTTTTTTTGTAAGAGGACCTTGTGCTTTCTGCTTTCTAAAAGCTGCCCGTTTTGGCCTTCTTTAGCTTTCATTTGCGTGTACAATTACTTTGGACCCACTCTGCTGTTATAAAATTTAAACCCCAACGTACTGGCGGTTTCCTATGAACGGAGCAACTACACCTTCCCTGCCCTGTCGCACAATGGCTCAAGCTACATAAACAATATCTTCATAAGACAATTTTTGCTTTCCTAACGAGTATTTTAGCGGCACTATAAGGAAACACATGCCTTTTAAGGTATTTTCGTGACGGCCAGAGGCCCGAGCTCGTAGCCTTATTTTTGGCAGTTGCTCCTGCTTAGCGAAAGTTCGTGCATGTTGAGGTGACTTCTTGAGCTCTTTCCTTGTGGTATCGCCGTTACGGTTGATTTACAGAAAAAAAGTCTGCGAAGCAAATATTCCGACGGAACAATATTTTTATTACTTTATTTAAGAATACTGTCAGCCTTCACTTGAAGGCTATCACAGGAGAGGTAACAACAATATATATACAGTCATATAAAAAATTTGAACTCTATACATATGTACGTAATAGAAGAAGACTTATACAATTTTTAATTGAAGACAACGTGAACCATATCGCCACACTTTGTAAAAAGAAGAGAAATAGGAAAAAAAAGGAAAAACGCCCTTTTTATTTATTGCTGGGTAAATATATTTTCTAAAGACACGAATTGGGACATATTTGCAGAATTAATGACATATTCTGGGAGTTGGTACCAGTCTTCAATTGTTTGCACAAAGAATGAATATTTAAAAACGTATATCCTACTATTATACGGTTGGATTTTTTTATTGTGATTTAATCTGCGCGATCGTTTATGTGTCTCTTTTAAATATAGTTCAGGTTCAATGTTTAAGTGATTGTTATACAACGCAAATAAGAACTTTAGCCGCGCTATTCTCCGTCTAGTTTCTAATTATTGAAGTCCTCACTGGCTAAGCATTTCAGTCACAGAGTCTGTTCGTTTGTATTTATTAAGAATGAAACGTGCAGCCTGCCCTTGAATATTTTTCTAGTTTATTGATGTCGACTTTTTTGTTTGGACTCCATACAATGCTGGCGTACTCTAAAATAGGACGGATCATTATCTTATAAGCTGTGATTTTGGCATTACTAGTTGCATGTTTTAACTTTCGTTTAAGGAAGCACAAACTTCGATAGGCAGAGGAGTAGACATTATCTATATGGGTACGCAATTGCAAATCGTGTGAGATCACCACACCAAGGTACTTAAAACTGTTTACAACACTCAAATTAACATTGCCTATATTATAACAAAATTTCAATACGGTTAATTTGTTCGTTATATGAATATATGTCGACTTACAAAAATTTATTTGCATTTGCCAGTCCTCACACCATTGCCTTAGATTTTCCAGGTTCCTACTCAGAGCTAATTGATCATTAGTATTGTTTATCACAGAGTAAAGAAGGCAGTCATCTGCAAAAAGTTTTAGTTTTACTGGTTCTGGAATGTGCGTAGCTATATCATTTATATATATCAAAAACAATAATGGTCCTGAGACTGAGCTCTCCGGGACTCCTGAGGTTACAGATAGTGGTGAAGATATGTTTCCATTTATCTCAACTTTTTGACTCCGATTTGACAGGTATGCTTGTATCCAGTTAACGATTTTATCACACAACCATATCTTTTTTAATTTGAACAATAATTTTTTTGTGAGGTATGCGGTCGAATGCTTTTGAAAAGTCTATACAAATTACATTGATCTGTTTCTTATTATTTACAGGCAATATACTCAATGCTTCAAAAAAATATAGCTCAAACTTTATTGGCACGTTTTATGAGCATAGCTCCCTTTCAGCTAAAATAAATCTACGATAAAAAAAAATACTATTTAG